ATATTGGTTGATTCTCTGTGTACTTTTTTTCCCCTGTCCACTTGTCATTTTGACTTTGAGAAAGATTCTGCTAGGATCTAAATGCCAGGCCCTCCATATTTTGAGATTTGTATTTTAGGTCATTGCAGTTAGCAAGCAGTTTGCAGCAGTTTTGTATCTTGGTGTTATTTGGTGTTACTTTTAACACCCTCCAGTGCAGTGTAACACTTATTGGTGAGCAAAGTAACAAGCAGTGTTAAAGTAACACCCTATGGTGTGGTCATCTGATAACACCACAAAGTGTTGATCTTAATCCACAGTTTTTGCAGTGTACGAAGACTGCACCAATGAGAAGCTTCACTGCACTGTCTGCTCATCCACACGGTTGGTTCGAACATCAGGTGCCCAAGGATTTTATCTGTGCATTCAGCCAAATATTAACAGAGAATGTAAATATTACGATCTCATAATCGGTTATTGATGAACAAAGAAACTCACTGGGACAGGATTTTTTTCCTGCGACCCCCAGAGGACGGAACTGGAGCTCTCTACCAAGCGTGTACCCAGATTTCTGTATGCCTTTCTTTTCCAATTTTGTTTTCTCATAGTAAAATATACTCATACTATAAGTAATTCGTGTAACAACAAGGTGTACCATTTAAACCCTTCCGTTAAGTTACACGGAAGCACCCGAGAGTAACTTGAGAATGACATGGCAGGGAAACGAATCACATCAGGTACAGACTTGAAAAATAATCAGCGAATCTCCACGTCCGACGGGTCGAATTTTAAGCCGGGGGCCACAGAGATGCCTGTCGACAACACACCTACATACAACCCAAAAACCAATTTTTGGGGACTTACTGCCTGAAAACGCCCAGCACGCAATGCTTAATCTCTGGCCGGGCGAAGCAGTAGTCCAGCGCCTCCAGTCGCTCAGGGGGCTGCTTGGTGGAGTCGCAGTAAGGGCTGGCCACGAAGCGGGCCTGGTCGGCCAGGGCCTGCTCCAGAGAGCACGGGCAGGCATTCAGGTCGTTCACGAACTCCCCCTTCTTTTTGTCCTCCTCGTACCATTGCTCGCAGTATTTGTTGGACCAGGCCCTGGGATCTCTTTGGTAGGCCTCCTCGCCAAGTAGGTAGCCCAGAAAATGCAAACTACTGCTGAGTGCAAATTCGCTCCTATCAAGCAAAGGAAACACGGTTTCTTCTGAGAAAAAAGTCTCTCCTTTAAGTGAACAAGCAAAATGACAACAACTACAACAGAGCCTAGCTACATTGACAAGAACAACTAGTTTGAGGCATGAATGTAATCCTCTGTTTTGTTGGCTTTTAGTTTAGGATATTGGTGTTTTGATTTAAGAAATTTTATAGCAGAGTTTGTGGGACTGTGCCAACAATCACCATGCATCGCCTGGGTGGAAAGAGAGTCAATTAGTAGCATACTAGCAAAGAATTTTGGCTTCATTCACAAGTCGAAGCGAAGTCATTTTTTGTTATTTTGAAAAACTGAGAACTAAAATGAAAAAAATTAACAAAAGTCCATCACAAATTGATAGCATTTAATATTCAGTTTAATAATATACAATCTGAGATTAATTATATCAAAATGTTTTAAGCCACACTCGGGGCAGCCACGTCCCCAAACTATGACTGTTTCCCCACGTGGAGATTCCGATCACCGGGTCGGTTCCCGGTCATGCTTGAACCTGTACGACTGTTTTATGCGTAATTATGGTAGCTAATACATCCCTCAGGTACCCTCTAACTACATTTCATTGTGCTGCTGTGGAAGTACAAGTAATGCCAGGTCACAACCCAAACAGCCGTGACCAGTCAGTACATGTCTGTTTAACAAAGAGATCCAGTTTCTGATAGCGACCACGTGGGTTCCTTGGGGCGACTGATCTTTCAAGAATTTCAAGTTAAACTCGGCAGTGTTTGGGGTCTGGCCAATGGGAGTTTACAGGCTTATGGTGTGGCTTGGGTGAGGACTACACAAATCCCTGCCAAGTTGGCCCACTGGAAATAAACGTTATGACCCATTTTGGTGATATGTGTCGATCTGAATCACGGCGACGATGACACCAGGGATTTAAAATTATAAAAGAAATTAATTATGGGACCCCAACTAGTCTTGAACCACGCCCATTCAAAAGATTATAGTAAACTGACTGATATAGACTCTGGGAACAAGGTCAACGATGGTTTCCCTACGGCGAATAAGTTCCATTACTGAAGGGGACAATCATTCAGAGCCTTCGAGGAAAAAGAAGCCTAAAACACTTGGATTTATCAATGGTTATTTTTTTTCTGTGCTAATTTTATTGAGAGGAACAAATGCAAGCCAATTTAAGCTGAAGTTTAAGACTTACACTTCAGACCCATCGGTCACTCGTAGGACCCCCATAACATTATCAGGAGTTATGGCCGGGTTGGCGCCGACTTGGATGGTATAGGCACCGCTGTTGGGGACGTCGCCTCCGACCAGGGTGTACTGGAAGACAGAGGTATGCCAAATGTTGGTTGTAAGTCAGTTATATTGTCATGTATTTCCCAGCAAAGTGTATCAAGTGGGAAAGAAATCCAGATGATAAGTAGACCACATATTCACCAAATGATACTTATCTCCATCTGTAAAAACTGTTTGACATTTCCTTAAGCATAGGTGCAATGAAAAATGCACATTTTATTAAACATTTATACTTGTCTAGGCTTTTCCTTGACAACTGGGGGCGCTGTTCCAGTGATGTCATTCAGGGAAGTATACAGGTTGCACACGGTTCATTAAACAGCTTTTCCACTTGAAATTGTAAACCCAGAATTCACTAAATAAAAAAGGCTGAGAAAGGTTGCCCACTACTTGTTTTCATGTTCTTACGCAATAATAATTCCAAAAACGAAAAGAAAGGAAAGCTCAGGCCAATAGAGTTCTAAAAACAAACTACAGTACAGATGATCTTTCTTCTGGGAATGATATCATTAATATTACCAAAAGGGCGGGAACATAATCTTTATAATAGTGGAACAAACCTTAAAAATGAGACACAAAATGAGAAAATCACATGATTTATTGTTATCATTGCACCTGTCATGTATTGGCCATCCAAAATAATTTGCATTCTAGTAACTCCCTGGTCAAGTGACCCGGAATCGGTGTCCCTTTGGGCCTGACTGTTTTCCAGGTGAAAACCTAACCCTCTTATGCGTCAATATAACAACTTTAATTGTTCATTTTAACCCCCAAAAGGGAGATCTTTCGACCTGGATTTGGGTCAAGTTTAACGGGACTTCGATAACGGGTCAATCCGAGACCCGAGAGTTTTTGAGTGTGGACATTTTAGGACCACGCCAACTTACCACCCATTCGGGGTTTCCTGCGGTCTTTTCCCGGTAACTCATCACGGTGACATTGACCGTGTCGTTGAACACGGACTTATCCCAGGTGATCTGCACGTTTTCGTCGGTGGCACTGTACCACTTCTCCGTCCAGGGGTCCACGCGTAGCACGCCTGGTGGCACTGAGTCGATGGGCACTGAGATGAAAAAATGTCCAAGAAATGAAGACTGTACTGGAATGCAAAAACTGTGGTTAAATTTTAATTCATAAATAGCTCAGACAGTTCCCCTATTCATAAACGCGCAACGTGACCGTGTATTAACATTTGATAATGCCTGCTGAGATTTGATAATGTCCGCTGTGTTAGGACCACTCTGACAGTTTAATCCATTTCTATTGGTCAAGAGTCTGCGTACGACGCGGCACGCAGAACGCACCACGTTCGGGTCAAGTCCATATATGGAGAAGTTATAAAACAGGTATTTATGAATGGGAAAAAAATGTTCCTGGCCAGTCTTAATTAAACTAGACGTTGAAAAGAGCCGGGGCAGACTCCCTCCCGAACTTTTTTCCATATCTCCGCATTGTTTATTCAGAAGTTGGGCCTTTAGGAGTTTTAAAAATAACTCTTTGCATTCATTTTGACATCAGTTTTTCAAAAAAAAGAATCAAACATATAATAGAACAATCGCACAGTGGGCATTTTTCCCGAGACAGGTCCGCCAAAAAAATGTATACTTTTTCCCCTGCGGTGCTGAATGGACGCGTACTGCCACGCGTGTAGCCCTGAACTTGAAATGACCGTAACAACAAAACCACATATTTGTTTGGATTCACAATTTGCACGTATGATGATAAGGAGTTTGTGCAAATGTCTGCCAAGTTTCAAGACAATCAAGCCTGGCACAGCCGAGTTCTTAGGGAGCTGTTTGATGGGTCAAAATAACCCGGCTCTTTGAGGGATAAGACCTTGCTGAGGAGACCGAACGTGCCCATTCTCCTGAGCCGGTCTTAAACGCACGTTTTAAGACTGGCCAAGCTCGTATTTATTCCCTAATTTAATGCCCTCGGTGTTACATAGTGCTTAATTCTGGTGTAGTCCTCTGGTAACATCGAGGGTGTTAAATTAACACTACTTTTTTTTGCACAAGGGGTGCGAATTTGGGCTTATGGTATGATGTTCCCGTGGCTATGGTGTTCCAAAACGGAGAGGCAAACGTCATGATTCTTTCGAAGGTTGTACTTCAAACTTCGTGAAGGTGTGGTTTCACGCTCGGTAGACACCTACAGGGCGTCACAGCCTCTCCTTCGGCAAGGTCCGCGGTCTCTCCTTTGGCACGACGTTTGGACGCTGATCCCAAACGTGTGAAAATGGACCTATGTCATTTGAAAGTTGAGCCAAGACGTTTGAAATTAATTTGAAAACCCGGACGCTTGATAACTGCGTTTTTGAAGTCGAACCGAAACGTTTGCCTGTCAATTTTAGAACACCACACGTTGCACCACAGGCAATCTCACTGTACCCTCCCCCCCTTCCCCATTCCTCCTGGAAACTCACTCAGTGTGAAGCTGGTGTGTCTCCAGGTGCCACTGTTTATGGACAGCGAGGCCTTGACTTCCCCTATGCGATACATCATGGGCGCGATGCAGGTCGCCTGGTACGCGCTGACGAACTCACAGCCATCGGGGTCCGAAAGGGCCAGGTTTGGGTCGTCCTTGTCACTGAACCGGAACTTGATGTCGTCGTTCTTACTGAAGCAGGAACCGCCGAAGGTGAGCTTGGAGCCGCCTAGTATGCTGGCGTATCTAGGGTAGACTTGTGGGTCAGCTGCATCAATGATATTGATGATGATGATAAAGAGATGATAAATGGTAAGCAAGGCACTGATTCGCTTCAAACAGAAGCATCGATTGAAAAGAGCAAATAGGCAGGGAGCAGGGAGTGTAAATTCTATTGATAGCCACGCTACCTTGACGTCTACATTTCATAATCGTTAGCGAACCAACAAAATACAGTTCCCATCAAAGGAACCTCCGTTACCGGGAAAAGTGCGCCCTCTCCTAGCCCAGGTCGGGGCTCATTGGCTAGCACAACACCCTACAATTCCCCTCAATCGCAAGCACTGCAGTCGAGCAATCTTACGAAAGTCCGTTGTTGCTCATTTTACTCTTCGTTGCATATCCGGTTGCGTTTCTCTACCATCTCGCACGGTTTGTCACAACTACCACGAAATGACACCAAAGTGAAATTCAGAATCACTCCATGAAATCTGCAACATGAACAATGCTGTACACGGCGTAACCCTCAAGCGGGCGCGCACACGTCGGAAAATGGCGCGAACGAGTTTCGTTTGGACAAAGTCATAACACTGCAAGGAAATACAATTTGGATAAACGTTTTACAAAAGATTTGATATGAGTGTGACTAATCCGTCTTCATTGATTACATAAAAAGTAACGGAATCTTTTTAAAATCAGTGAAATAAGTGTTATTCCGTGAAAACGAAAATGTACCGAGTGAAGTACATGTACTTCGCGGTTCGTGAAAGCAAATGTGGTGGTAAGACTTTGTCAAGTCTAGGGTTCGTCAGGTTTCCATACCTCGCACTTTCTCGCAAACCAGAGTGTTCTTACCCATCCAACATAATCCCAACAGTGTATTTAAATTGTTGTACTTTCCGTCTAGAGTCGCCCGATTTGATTTTCATGGTTATAATCATAAATTAACTGTATCCTTATCAACATTACTCCGCAACAACAGGTTTTAGTTCATAAATTCGTATCAGACATGGTCGTATTCTTGTACGCTTACGCGACGTACTTCGCCGTGGCGTACGTGACAATCCGTCTCTCTCTGGCAGGTGTTCGTTCTGTCAGGATGTAGGTTCGCATTGATAGATTTGTTTTGTATATGCGTGGGCCAAGAGTGAGATCCAAGTCAGGTCTAAAATTCGTCATTTGGACCGATTTTGCTTGCCGCACTATCATGAATGTGACTCATGGACATGCACGAAACGTAATGACTGTTCCATGTTGCACTCAGCGACTATTGCATGTTCTTGAATTGTTTTATTGTGTGGTCTTTTCACAGCTGAACTCTGTAGAGACAGCGGGTTGCGCAGTGTCCTTATGATTATGAATAATGTCCATTTGACTTTCATCTTTCTGTCTTATCCTTTTGTCCATCTTGTCATATCTTGTTACTTAACTTTTTACAATCCATATTAATTATTTTACTATTGTCAAACTCCATTTTTTAGAGTCCACAATTGTATGAATTTTCTCTACCTTAATAATATTGGGGCAGTCCTAAATTTCTCAACTTGGTTTCAAATAAAAATAAATCAGTTCTAATATACAGTGAGAATAATAATTCCTTGTGCTGATTTTTGATTTTTATTTGGAGTACCTTGGTCACTGGAGAGATCAATCTCTCACTTACAAAATAGACGTACCCGACGTATAAACGTGACACAAAATCATTTGGTTCTGTAAAATACGTGCGCGGATCGTGTACTCAGGCGCACACAGGTCTTACTTCGTTGAGTCTTTAGCGAGTTATTGAGATGTCAATGCCCCCCTTTACCTAATCAAAAAATAGGTTACCGGTAACCATGGATGCAATCATGCCCCAGGGCTTTATTCAGTCATTCCAAATGGTCGACAAAATCGTCCAACCGCTCATCGTCTGGGTGTCATTTTTCGGTCTTAAGCTCAGCTATTGCCCAAACTTGCCCGAGACTGCAAACAGCTGCATTACGCATGCGTGTAAAATAGGCCTACTCTGGTGGCAGGTACATTCGCTTCGTGATCACAGGATTGCCCATTGCGATGCCGGAATAGGGATTTTCTTTTTCATTTCTTCGGTTAGCCTAAATTTACCTCGACTTCACGACTGACCGTTATGTTCGAGGGCAGACTCGAAAACTGGCGGAACAGCCTACCTTTCCTCGAACACTCCGGGGATTCCACCTGTGACCCAGACACGTGAAAAATGAATAGCCCAGGTGGTATGGCGGGGTCGACGTTGGACGTAAGTGGCAGACTGGAGAAACCACCATAGTCACTCTGCACTCTGAGAATCTCGTAATTTCTCCAATCACCAGAATCGAAGCCAACCTGTGTTGATGGGGAAAGTACCAAAACATTCGGTGAACAAAAAAGAAACCAACAAAGCAAAAACAGAAACAAAACTGAACAAAACACTGCGGTGAATAGAGATCCCACAGCTAAATATAAAGATAGGATCCACTCTTCTCCCAGTATTGCTTTGAATTAAAGATTTTAAAGTTTTAAACTTTATCATGGCCTGTCTTCTTTCGTTTTTTTTCGTTGTTTGTTCATCGAGACTTCTGCCTTCTATTTGTACTTCCCATCACGTTCATATAATGCGATCGATTTACCAATCTCGCGCGTTCAAAGTAACAAAAGCAAGAAAAGCAACAATGAGAGCCAATAATTGGGATGATTTGTCATTCCATTTCCAGTCTTTATTTAAAAGTGTAACTTTTCTTTGGAAAGAAAACCAATAAATATGAACGCTTTATACATAGGACACACTCTGAGCAATTTATCAATTATTTCTTTCAAAATTATTACAAAATCTGTGCTTTTTCGGTCAGCCATTGCATTGCACCGTCTCCATTGCCTCTTACCTGCGGGAGGTCGGACCCTGAGCCCGTTTGCGGATCACCGCCGGCAGAGACGGCGGTCGTCCAGCTTATGTCTTCGTAGAGAAAGAACGCAAAGGTGTTGATCGCGTCTGATATCACAACACACTGAAAAGTGTTCGTCTGAAACGAAGGTTAAAAGTTAGACAGTTAAAACAGCAGAGATATTGTTCACAGAAAACAACAAAACAAAAACAACAAGCAACGAATCACTCGACTGACAATTGACAGCAAATTAACTAGAAATTTCCAACAGCATTATAGAGGGTTTGCAGGGCTGCCATCTTGCGGACCAGTGCACAAAGGTGGTTTCCCCATTGAAAAAAGAATTGCTCTGCAAGAGGACAACCACGTAAAGCCTTTATACAACAACCAAATGGGCAGTAAAGGACATCTTCAACAAAAAGGGATCGTAAAGCTGAAACAATTTTGGCTACCACTGGGTCTTCAGCTGTCGACCCTTGAAACCCGACTTTATCCCAGGTCACAATCAACATGTTCTTGGGCTTGAAGTCGCTGTGCCGGACGAAGTACTGGCTGACGAGGGCCGTAGCGTCCTGAAGCACGCGCCCCTCTCTTGCCTGTCCGTAGAAAATTGTGCCCGTGTTGGTCACGTCAACGTCCGCTAAGAGCGGAGCAATTAGAACATTTCTGTCGTCCGGTTGCTGTACAGAATGAAATGAAAACCGGTGAGTGAGATCAGTGATGCTTGTACGAAACCGTAGGACCCTTTCATGTATGCATGCGTCACTCGTTATAGCAGTTAACAAAAGGTACCCTTAATTAAAATGCATGTTATCATTGGTTAAGGCAGTCAACAGAAATACCCATGCATACAAGGAAATGTCGCCTACTTATTTAAGTTGTTTATTTATGCAAGCTATTGGCTTGATATCGATCTTAAAATTCTACCTTAATTAATAGATTCAAATTTTGGAAGGAAAAGATTTGCATAAGTTTACATAATTCAGTATGTTTTTTTATAGCAATACTTCTACGATGACCCTGTTCTCAATTTTGGGGAGTCAGACTAGGGCAGTTCTACTCTTTTCTCGCATTCCGTCTGCACAAAGCATGTTCAGATCCCACCACTGGCTGTGGAAGCGGGGGGGGGGGCATGGTTCAAATGCCCCTGCCCACCTTTTTTTTTAGGTCCCATCAATGGGTGGGGCGTAATGGATCGGCTTATATGGCTGATGGCCTGATGGCCTGACAGCTGAACCCCCTGCACTTTGAAAATCATTTTGCTGCCACTGGATCAGACCCTGGCTAACCCTGGCTGTGGATTGGGCTTCAATAACCTGTCTGAATACATCCATCCCAAGTTTTCGTCCCTTCCCTAAAAGTCTGAGCGCTGTTGATTTGTAATTTCAGTACACGTTTTGGCATGTTCTCTGTCCCTAACGGAAGTCCATTGAAATTATATCCGAGGTGGGTGGTATGGCTACTTTCACCCAGTAAAATTATAGTATGGAAACTCGATGAAAATTCTCTTTCCTCATTCTCTCAATTACCAGTAAAATTTGTTCATCCAATGCTCGACAGCTCAAATATTTACCTTGAACAGTGGAAGTGTTTCCCATACGTACTGGTCAAATTTTTTCCCGAATGATAGGACACCGTTGTCGTTGATCTGTTGGTTACCAGCGAATATGTAAAAGAGATGAACCAAATTCAATCAAGAACATATATAACACAAAACTGCTGCAAACTGCTCGCTGACTACAGTGACCTAAAATACAAAAAACAAAATAAGAAAGGCCTGAAGTTTCGATCCTAGCAGAAAGATTCTGCTGGGAACGAAACACCAGGCCCCACAAAATCAACCAGTTGAGGTTTAAATTAATGTGTATGCATGGCATCAAAATGTCATTACCACTGGTGGAAGCAAGATGCACTAATCTGTTCAAAATCGTGCGAAGATGTGGTCTTGGTGCAAGTCACTCTTTACAGACTTCCAGTTGCCCAATGAACAGCATGCGTTTAGGTGTTCCCACACCCAAATCCTTTTGCCACTCCTTGACATAGAGGCTTTGCATTATAGCCATCTCACAGTACAGATTTTTCTTTCAAATGGTATACATGAAGGAAGTTTCCCAGTGGTACCAAGGCACTGCTCTGTATGATGGCTAAGACCTACATATTTCCAAATAGAACTTACAAAGATTGAGTCATATTTCTTCCCGTAGTACGTAAAGGGGCTGGCCAGTTTGACTTCGACGCTGACGTCGTTCTGGGTTGGGAGGACGCTGTCTCTTGACGTTCCTCCGTAATCGAAGAGGTAACCTACGGATCAAGCAGAGGAGGTCATGTAAAGTTTGTGGTCTACACTCTAGAAACACCAGGGTCAGAGTGACCCGGAATCTGGGTCCCATGTGGCCTGACCCTTTACCGGGTCAAAAGGGGTATTTTGACCCGGAAAGGGGTCAAGGGCCCCATAGGACCCAGAACCCGGGTCAGTCAGACCCTGGTGTTTTTGGAGTGTACAAAAGGTTCAATACCAGTGATCGCACCGACACACAAAATCATCACAACTTTACAAGGGATGACATCCATTCAATGCTGCATGCCCGTCGACAACCCGGGGCACGTAACAGTATATCGTTTTTCGTTTGACCATCAATTTATGAAATTATTCATTTTGTATTAATCGGCAAAGAGTGTCGATCATTTTACAACGATTTTGCACTAAGTTTACAACTGCGTTTTTTGTTTTGTTTTTGTTTTTTTTTGGTTTCCGCATCCTTTTATACCGCGTTTTACTCCCGCACAAGTTCAATGAACAAACGGCAGAACAGTTTACCGTTACTGTCCACTGTCGCAGCTCAGACCCAATTGGTCCGGAAATGTCAGCATTTGACTGCTCTCTGTCGTGGCAAGGTGGTTCGGGGCGGGAATTTTTCCCCAAACGATTTTGGTTTCCTGTCTTGTGATTGCTCTGTTACCTGCATATATGTATCTCATGCGTCGTTCTTGAGCTCACAAACCAAACTTATGGTGAGAATGTTCCTTTCTCACTTTGCTATTTACAAGTTTCAAAAAGAGTTTTAAAACTATATGCAGAGAGGATTCGAACCCGAGACGTAGGATTTCGAGTACTCCCAACCAATCCATTATTATAACCACTCTGTAAATCCTTCGACATAATTATGAATAATGCACAAGCACAGAGGGCGCCCTCTTTCGAAAACTGTTGGATCTCGTTTGTGGAAAACAAGCGACCCGGGCGGTTTTAGATCATGCATCTCCCTCTAAATCCGAATGAGTGGAACCCGGGACTATATAATTTTAGAGTGAAAAATAATTTATATTGCATTTATTAGAAAAATAATGCCTGCAAATGAGTGGAAATCTCGATCCGAGAACCTCAAGCTGGACCGAGAGAGGGTGTAATTTTCTTTGCAACGGAGGCTCATTTGATCGGAACTGGACTTTGCTGGTTCACGAACGATTATGTTACGGTCCCATCGCTACCCAAAAAAAAAAAAAAAAAAGAGAACGCTCCCGCCCATATGGCGGGTTATGGGGTGCTTCTGCTCGAGGTGGATAGGAGTGAAGAAATTCCACTCAAATTCGTCCGGACAGGCAAATTTGAAAGCTAATCCTCCGCTCGCATGTCCAATCACTTTTTTTCCCCTTTTTTCATTTCTCTTGTCTTTTTTTTCTTTTTTCTTTTTCCTTTTAATGAGGGCCCCAAATGATCACCTTCTGCTTGACCCTCACCCCACCTAAGACCTGGATACGCCCCCGGGGTAGGTATCCAACCAGCATTCATACCTCGAATTCAAAAGATACCTCTGTGTTAATTTGGTTCTATATTTACTTTTCCCGGTATCAGAACAACAGAGCGGAAATTCCCGATTGCTCTGCATACTAAAAACCACGCGTCATCTCGCATGCATTGTGTTTTATTGTCCGCTGTGGTGCTGGAGCTTGAACTTTGATTCCTTACCATCGGCCCTAAGTCTAGTAACGTCAGACCTTGCCTTTGTGCTAGTCACTATATCTTGAACAGATGCTTTGGTCTCGTTGTAAATTTTTTGTTTTTTGGTGAACCGTTCAGGGACAAATTTAATGAATTTTCAACCAACTGTTGCAATGAGCTAACAAAAAGTAGAAGACAGAACACAAAACTTTAGGCCCTAAGATAACCATACAACAACAACAACAACAACAACAACAACAACAACAACAACAACAACAACAACAACAACAACAACAACAACAACAACAACAACAACAACAACAACATCAACATCAACATCAACAACAACAACAACAACAGCAGCAACAACAACAGCAACAACAGCAGCAGCAGCAGCAACAAAGCAGCAGCAGCAACAACAACAGCAGCAGCAACAACAACAACAACAACAGCAACAACAACAACAACAGTTGTCCACAATGAATTCAATTTGCCGGGAAAACAAAGCCTAATTCAAACGTAGTTGAGACATCGTGACATCTGACATTGCCGAGTTTTCCAAGTCGAATTTAATTCACAAACACTAAAGTGAAAAGGCAAACAGGAAAAGGAAGTCTTGCTTACAAAGGTATCACTTTTCTGGCATACTAGTGTTTAAGTGTTGCTTATTTTGTGTGCCAAACTTGCCATCGATAAATACCCTGGCATACTACAAACATGACAACTCCTGTGTCCTAACGCATCAACCTCAGCTGTTCCTGTGCGATCCAGTCTTCACAAGGTCTCCCTTTCTACTGCGTTGTGTCCAAAAACTGTCGTGCGTAAATTTAAACTCATTCTAAACCCACCACGTTTATCAACAAGGTGTACTTGCAGAGAGGAGCGTAAACACAGAACGCGCGCTTTCCTGCGCTTGTTTAATTTCCTGCTGCTCAGTCATCTTACAAGGTCCTTTTGTCTCTTATTTGAACAAAGACAAATTCAAGCAACATGAAATAAATAATGGAGTTGGCAAAGAGTAATATATTTGCAAGATGGAAGGATTACTCCCAGGCACGGTTTTCCAGAGGTCGAAGGTTCGAAACCCACTCCATTCAAATTCTTTGGTCATCTTGTATAATACTAATAAATGAATTTGATTTAAAAGCCTATTACTTTATTGGTTGGTAAACAGGGATAGCGTACCGAGAGACTGGCGTGTCGAGAATTAATATATTTTGACGCCAAAAGGTGACCTCCTAAATTTTATTTGAATGAGGCAAGTAATAAATCCCGGGTAAAAACAGTATTAAACATCAATGCAACTATAGATTTCCAAAGCACCTGCTTGTTTGCGAAACCGTGCCTATGTGTGACTCATTGACGGGGAATTCCAACAAAAGATTACATTCACGCTGATAAACAGAAGTAAGGTTTTCCCCATTGTTTTTGTTTGTTTGGTTTTTTTTGCGGGGGGGGGGGTCTGTTTGAGGAATAATAATTAACTCTTTAGACACAACAAATAGAAAACAAGCAGACGACACGTACCGCAGGTGTTTTGATACAACCTAGCGTCGTGTGTTCAATGATTAACCATGCACGTAATGATTCGAAAACAGTCGCGAAGCGTTGCCCACGCTGTAGGTGAATGTTTGCAACATCGAACGCCCGGTACTTCACTTGTTAATATTTTTCTACAGCATTTCCAAGAGTAGAAATGGGGATGAGTCACTGCCAAATGTCTATTTCTATTTTGAATGATTTTTCATCACCTACCCCATCAGACGAGAAAGGTGACCATATGACAATATTCTGTCTTGAATAACTGACCTGTTTCTTTCCCCAACAGCCAAATAGTTTATTGAAACTGTCTAGAAAGGTTATAAGTGTAAAATGTATCAATTAAAGTTTTGTAAGCGAAATAACAACACCGAACATTCTTCGCCCCCAACGATTTGTGATGTCCAAAATATCAAGAAATTCCACCTTTTCGCCTAAAATAGACGATGTTTTTAGTGTCATTTTCATGTGAATTCAATTCTCCATTTCATGTTTTAATCAGAAAAAAACTGAACGTAATATCTCCTGGTTTTTCTCCAATGCATGCCGCCACTTTAATGCGGACGCTTCACAATAGTGCGCCTCCAAGAGTTTCCAACGCGTTGGCCAATCACAACGCACGAAATCGGCCGACCCTTCCCAAACGCGCGCGGGGTCGACAGATTTCGAGCATCGGGATTTTCCAACGCGTTGCTAATTCTTGGAGGCGCACTCTCGTGAATCGCGTGTATTGATGCTTTTCATTCTGAGGATCTGTGCCGATTTATGGCCTGATATCCTTCCTTGCCAAATCTGTTCTGCAAACACCGACGTCTTTTGCAAAGCAGGGTTATCTCTGTTCGGACAATGCTGACCTTTTAATTATCAGACGAAACACATACTGATAAACCCGGTCTTTTGTGTTCGGTCTTTTCTTGGACATAGAGTTGCACTGCCTGTGAAAATTAGAACGGCCTGTAATGAGTGCTTTGTACCGACAGCGGTAGTTTTGCACTAAATACTTAACTCACAGTCTAGCAATCTCAACGACCCTCTAGACACCGAATCGATACTCTAATTTACCACTTGATCTATGTTTTGTCTGAATGGCATAAGATTGTACTGCTGGGAACGCTTTACTGTCTTACAAGGTTGAGTTCAATTCTTCAGATCAAAGGCCGTCAAAAGCTTAGTCCAGTCTTAAATCGAAACTGGGAAAGGAAGTATTTTGTCAGGCTTGGTTGAAAAACAAAACAGAAAAGAAACTAAGTAAAGGGTCCGATAAGAACTCGGATTGGGGAATAGGGACTACCATAGCATTAGGACATGGGTGACAGAGGAATTTAAGTAGGAACATCGGCCGCCCACCCGACTCCAATTCCATGGATCCAAAAAGTGAACCCGTTTAATACTGCGTTTGGACATCACTGTTCAAATATTTTCCAAGCGAGCATTACTGCACCCATCTTTTCCATTGTTATCTTGAGTTGAGCTCAAGTGATCGAGTGCATAAGGAGTAAACCCCCCCCGAGTTAATTAAAACTGGATAAAGTAATGAGACACCGGCTGAAATGTGACACCGACTCGCTCGTGAGTTCCCGCACCTCTGGGGCTTTCTAGGCGGCGCGTGCACTGCACATTTTTTTTTCTGCTTCCTCGCTCTATGCTGAAACCAGCCACGTTGTGGTAGACTTTGTACGCTGTTTCAGACGGTAAACACTCCATTCAAAAAAACTGCATAAACTAGAGCCGTTGTAGCGGCCACTGTGCAAATAATCGCTGTTTGGTCACTTCAGTGTGGTATAGGAACCGCTTGACAAAAAAGGAATACCAGTCGAAAAAAAAGTGCAGGGACGCGCAACGTGATGGGGTCAGGTTAGTACACTTACGTGAGTTATCAGCACGGTTGACGGAAGTGGCTGCGGGAGCATTAGACCTTATTCACGTGAAAGCCATTTAGTGATCTTATTCCCCGAATCTCTTTAATAAATTACAAACTGTCGATTAGGATGGCACCAGACTGTTTCATAATTTCCGCGCGTTCTACCGTCTACGCCTCCCTTACAATATTTTGCTAAATCTGGCTTAAAACACCAAGGTACATGTACTAATTTGTCATGAGATTTCATTTTATTGCTTCCATTTCTGCTCTCTACATCGAAATTGAAAAGTTATCATCGAGATATGGAAGATGTCGGGGACGACCGAGTGTTACAGAACGTTAAGTTTAGAACCAGTATTGTACTGGCCGTTCCGATTTTCTCGACCAATGGAATTGCAACGCAATTGGGCTCAATTTTGAGACAAAAACTGCCTGGACAAGGGAAAGCTACTCGAGAGCTGTGCTTGCGAAAAAAAAATAAATAAAAGAAACGGGGTTCGCCATTCGAGTTGAGCGCAGACGAGCCACTGGTGGCACAACGCCTGACCCTTGACAGTTGTTGTCGTTGTCATTGTTGTCGTTGTTGCAGGCACACCACTACCCCCCCCTTACTGGGGTCATGCTTTTATGCACAGTGATCGAGTATTCACGGTCCTGTGTAATGTCCAGCGACAAGTGTACAATCGGAGCAATGACCCGGCCACCGTCATGTCGGTGACGTGGCATGTGCACGGTAAGCTCTAGAATTTGGCCCGCTCACAATTCGAGTTACTTACACATCGACGCACCGCACGCGTGGTACTTCGTTTATTTTTTTGGAATTCGTTTTGTGTTTTTGTTTAGATCGGCCACCTGCCAGGTTGAAATGGTAATATCCATTATATATTGTTCAAACACGTTCCTGTTGTCATCGAAAGCTAACTCTTTATAATCCACCTGTGTCAGAGTGTACATTTCGCTGGAGGCTGTTAGGCCCCAGTGACGACGATCATGTGTACTTTAATTCCTGCCTCTTTTGTTGATACATACCCAGACGGAATGGAACACCAGCCGCCATGTTACAGGTCCTTAAATTAAAAGATCAGTTTTGATGTTATGGAGGTCTTGAATACCTTAATGGATTGAACCTGTATTTTATGGTTGGGCATGTCCAATGGGTGAACGCTTTCGTTTGATTTGGTTTGACTTTGAGCATTTTAAGTTTTTTATTTTGAGCATATTATATATATTTTTTTTTTCAATTCTGGAAGAACATAGCTTGTTGACTTCCACTTGTAGCGGTAGTATAAGCAAATCCTTTGAGAAACATTGGATCAGATGAACTTCATATGAAATTGAAACTTGGATTTTCAAGCTTCCATTGCTGCGTCTCACGTCGGTGTAGGTGACTGAGTTCGTGGGATCGTTATCTTATTATGGTTTCCCGCCTATTGTGAACAAAACAATACCTTCAGGCACTCCATCCGACTGCCTGGGTGGAAAGGTTACCGCGTACAAGAAAACTCTAAATCACTTGTAGCGTCCCAGAAGTAAGCAAGGGTTTTTGGCTTGGGGACGTGGTCGTAGAATTTTAACGACAGAACGCAGGCTAAAATTTTAACGACAGAACGCAAGCAATTAACCACTGATGTACTGCATGTTAATGTTACACATTAATCCTCAAATGTTGACCAAATGATAACAAGCAAACAGTAAAGCAAGGACATTATTTTTTGTCATTTGTAAAAAAAGAGATCGGGTACGGGTGGCTTTTATTCACAGGAAAATATGTATGAAGGTTTTGGTGGTTAAAACGTAAAACTCGATGAAGATAAATTTGCTTCCAGTAATGTTTGTCAAGCTGCATATCATTAAGAGCTCCGCCCCAATGTAGCTTGTGTTGAGCACTGTCTATTTTGAGAGGTTTCTTCAACTCACCGTTTACTGATGGCAGAGCCGCCAGGGCAAACAGAACACATACCACCGAGAGCTGAGCCTCCATCTTTGGCATTCGGCACTTGAGAATGTTTCCTCCAAGGACAGCAAAATAAAGCGTCCACATTAGACACTGTTCCCGCGTTGTAAAAGAGCGGGAAATGGGCCCACCGTTTGTAAAAGTGTCTGCTACACGACAGACGCTTCGACTTTGAACTTAAATCGCTTGGCTTCAAATGCGATCCTAATAGCCGTGAGGGGCATTTTTATGCAAATTAGTCACCTGGGCTAAGGGAATATCTGAAAAATCGCTACACTGACAAACTAATGTCACCGCACCGATTTGTTTGATTAGGGAGATTTGATGAATCAGTACAAATCGTACTTCTCAGCAACAAACAAAGGTCTAACACAGTGAAAAAAGAACAATTACACACCTATTGTCAAAGTGGAACATGCCAGGCGTTGGTTGGTTCAGGTTCTATGTCTGGCAGGCAGGCGTAAAAGCATTAATTTATTATTGCAACAGCACTCAGCTGCCTGACAAATGCAGATGAGAAGAGTGCTATATTTAAAAACTAATTTTCTTGACAACCAACACCATTACTTGGAGAATGCTTGTATTCCAAGTTTAATTTTTTCCCGTTTATTTGCGCGATTGGCAAATGTACCCTGCAGACGTCAATCTATGAACTGTCAGAAGTTTTACATGGTTTTTCTTCTCACTTCGGTGGAAATTAGTTTCAACCAGATATTTTCATTTAGTATGGATTTGTTCTATTTTCTATATCTCAACATGTTTAGATAAGCACCGAAATAGCATCTTGGGGTTAAAACTTTCTGTTGTAAATGTGAGTTATTTAAAACGTGAATAACTTAGATAGGTACAGGATTAATTTAATTGAGAGAGAGAAAAAGAGAGATTCGTTTTCAGCCAAACCCCCCCCCAAAAAAAACAAAGCATTACTGGATCTACAACCCAACTACTGCAAACTGCTTGCTGACTACAAGTGACCTAAAATACAAATATATGGAGGGCCAGCCGTTTCAATCCTAGCAGAAGGCAAAATGACAAGTAGACAGGGCAAACAAGCAAGCACAAGCACATTCAAGTGTTTTTTAGACCACAAAACAAATATTTTTCTGTTTACACCCAAACACCAGGTAGGGAAAATAACAAGAGGAGTTACCTACACACTGGACAAGGATTTCATTACATGAAAGGGGCCCTCCTGTGGCATATCAATGAATATACCGATCTACACGTGCAATTTGCTTTTTGTGAGAAAAATAATTTGTGAGGTTTCAACGTAATGACGCCATCACTCCACAAGTTTTAGAAGGGACAAATGTCCAGATGATCACTTTCCTCTCTCTTTTTGCATTCAATCTGATAAAGATGTTGTCTTGCCCAAATGATGAGACTAGTCGATTTGTAAAAATAAAGAAAAATGAAAAAAAAAGAAAAAAAAAAGGGTTTTGACCTTTAGGGGGCCTTATTAGTCAACAACCCTTCTGCCAGTGGACCTAAGACCGAAGAGAACGAAATTATCAAATGTTTGCTATTTTATTCTCTTATTTGTATATTTGTCATGGCAACATTTCTCAAGGCTATTTCTTTTATTTTTCAAAAGCTGTAGGTAATTTCAGGAAAGTAATACGATTTGTTTGTAGTTGTAGGGGCCAGATTGGAATGATGTAAGTCGAGGTCGTTTGCGATGGTGGTGAGATGGTGATGACGATGTTTGGAAAGATGGTGGTGATGGTACAAATGAAGATATGAGACAGAGGGGTACCCCCATACATGTCCAAGCCATAACAGACTATCTACACTATTGTTAGCCGACGCATGCCCCAGATGTCTGAAAAGAATTCCTAAGATTCGGGTCAAATAATGACCAGCACAAGGGGGGGAGGGTCTGTCTGCCCCGTATCTCGCTTCAAATGTTATAGGAATGACGCGGTGATGGTGGTGCTGATTATCAGAATGATGTATAGTTCACATCCATATTTCTATGCTATAATGACGGATCTTTAAATGAGTCAACGAAATTCGGAAGTCTGTTGTCTCTTGATATCTATTCTTGCCTCAAATGCTAGTCCCCATTGGTAATCGGTAATTCAACTATCCCAATTGCCAAATAGAGAGAGAAAGAGTTCCATACGAATTCATAATCAGTTCTATGTAATGAAAGTTAAAAACGAAAATTGAGTTAACTGAGAAATGAGTCACAGGCAATTTCCGCTGAGCCCTGACTTCATCGAATGGGCATTCTTAATTAAGTGAACAAATCTTTCTGGCATTTCAAGTATTGTTGCCAGTGATCGCTAATATTACACCAGAGGAATACAAAGCGAAAGAGGACTGTGTCTGAATAAGCTTGATAGCCTGCTGTAGGCGATGCTGATATCTGTATCAAACTATTGCATTGTCGCCTTTAGCGTCCCTGCTCAATCTAATCATTGTTAGAGGGTTAATTATTGATTTGTGGTATGATGCTAATTGCGAGCTACCCACGCGACCCGGCCCCCGATCAAAGTTCACGGCTGAAGACCTGACTTGGGCTAGGTGCAGGGGAGTTAGCACGTGATTGCAAGTGACCAAAGGTCACTGTGTCTGGGTATTTTGCGGGGCGCCCTCGTGGGACTGTTTGCTTGCACTGACTTCCGGTAGAGATCGGATTGGTACACGAGTATTAGTCATCAATCCAATGTCCTTGTAGTCTGGTTCCCTGACCTGACGATTCCTCAAGAAGTTAGTGTACCCTGTGATAGGAAAGATCGAACACATGCAAAACACGTATAGAAATAGATTTTCGAGGCAGTGGTCCTGGAAAACCGAGCATGCATTTGTAAAAATGTATTTCTTGTCGAAAAAAGGTTGTGAAAAAACAGTGCATATCTGTGTAATACTTGACAGTATAATTGAAAAATTTGAAGGCACCTGGCTTGAAACGCTATATTTGACAAAATGCTTAGGACAAACGATTATTTTTCGTTTTCTTTCCTACTAAAAAAGAGTTCAAAGTTGCAGAAAATGTTTCCAAGAAAAATTCATCGCAGCTACAGTTTATAAACTATTTTTGCTTTTAAAATCGCTTTGCAGAAACTCCCAGGAAGATAAAAAGTGATAAGCACCAAACTGATGGACAGGCAACCAAATTTTCTGCTTCATTCAAACTAAAAATAATTTCAAAATATGAAAAAAACAAAATCCGTTTTATTCATCTGCTGGTCTGATCAGTTCAATTGATAAAACTCATCTGGGTACCACAAACGCAGTGTTACAAAATATTGTTGGTAGAGTATCTCCAACGGCCACAGGTGGGGCTAGGACGATTAGCCCGAGGTCATCAGGTTGCGAAATCTGTTCAATGAAAAGTCGAGAATGTTCCGTTTACCAGCACTGGTAAACGGAAGTAAAACCAGTCCGCTGTCAGGAGACACGCAGTCATCTTCTGCCGTCAATCAGATGCATAATGCCCTCCCATGAGGCTTGTCGTCCTTGAGGTCGGCGGTGTCGCTCTCTCCTTGGGCAGGCTGGGCTCCTGGACCCAACCCCTGCGGAGCATCAACGGCCCCGATCCGGGATACAGGACGGTCTTTCCTGGTCGGCTTGGCTGGGGGAGTGGGTTTGACACCGATGACCCGCGGCGGTCCCTTCGTCCCAGGTGTGGCTGCCGCACGCAGCTCGTCGGGCTCGTCGACTCCTTGCGGCAGCTCAGGGGCCCGGCTGAGGTCCGGCCCCTGCCAGATGCCGGCGGTATCGGACGGTTCTGGGGCGTCACCGCGCCTTACCACGTCCGGCATAGGGGTGTCATCAGCAGTGGCCGTGGGGCCCGAAGCGGGATTCAGCTGGTCGGCATCTCCCGGGTCGGAGACCACAGTTTCCCCAGATGTTGCCTCCTCGATTCCAAGCTTCTCAGTCATTGCCACGACGTCGTACGTTTGCCTCGACAACGGTGACCACTTTCGCTAATAAAATTAGAACAACATTAAATCTTCGTCAACAATCGTCAACTCCCATACCGGCAAAAAAAAAGAAAAATAGCGATCTGAAATGTTTGAATGCTGATAAATGCCAAGTTCTAGATGATTTTGAAATTTACTGGAGAGTTTCCTTTTTTTATTTTGACTTTCGTGAATGGAACAGAACACATGCCGGAGGCGAAGGAGACCACATTCAAATGCCAAGGACACGTTCATCCATTCACCGTCCATTCAACCGAAAGAAACTGTATTATGTAATTGGAATCAGTCGTAATCGACGAGAAAATGTAACACAGGACAAAAAAAAATAGAACCGTAGTCGGCAGGATTCGAACCTGCGCGGGGAGACCCCAACAGATTTCTAGTCTGTCGCCTTAACCACTCGGCCACGACTACTCGGCAGTAAACAGAAAATTTCAAGCAATGTCACGTTGTTGCAACAAGTTGACAAATCTGAGTCCCGCTTCACTGAATGTATTCCTTCGCATTCCATCAAATGTTAGAGATGAAATGGCTTATTCTGTATCGAAATTTGATCTAACGACGTCTGAAAGTGAATTCACAAGAGGACAGAAACATTTTTATATCCATGTTCTACAGAAATAAATATTCAGTGTCCACGGACACAATATTGTACACAGATCGAATAACGACGACCTACAGGTGAATCCAGGACCGGAGTTCAAAGCCTAAACGGGGACAAATATTTTGGCCTTTGGCTTTCATTTTCCTGAATAATCTGTCACTATTCCTTAGCCTTAACAACAAAATTTAGAGATGTTTAGCGGCGAGAGGCCAAGATCGGTTTGTATCTCTGTGCCGCGGGCCATGCTCAGTCGAAATGGTTTTTAGTCGTGCTCCCTTGGCAGACGTGACTTACAGGTTTTCGCTTGTAACACATGATACCGCACAGGATCAACCCGAGACACAGAAGAACAGCCAGGACTAGGCCAATGCTGATCCCAATGGTCCTTCCACGACTACCGTCACCTACATCAGAGAAAAGACGACACCGGGCTTTTTATGAAGTACACAGACCAGTCAAATTTGACTAAAGTTCAGTAAGATTTGACTAGCTCTTCAGGGGCAGCTGGGTGCAGCTGGAAATTAGTCAGATTTTTTTTCAGTCGGTTCATAGTTATTTTAAAAAGGCATCGAATAGGAATTTTGTCAGAAAGCAAGATTTGCCAACGTTAGCGTGGGTGTTTGACTGAATCCGTAGTCAATCTTGAAAAAAAAAAGGAAAATCAGTCAACACTTTGAATGGGTTGTTTTTAAAGTGGAGCACATCAAGATGGAAAGATAGCGGGCGACTCCCAGGCATGAAGCTATGTATTGTTTTCCTTCATTGATCAATGCTGACACTTTAGAAGTGTTACCAGCATGCGGGGGGGTACGGGTGGAAAAAAAGGACAAAAGTCACAGAATTAAATACTCAAAATTTTGTCCCATCCCTTGGACTCAAAACTAATACATGCGACTGGGCTTAACCTGTTTAATTAAACACTTTGAAAATGAGCAATCAGTGCTAAGATAAAAAAAATAAATAATTTCCAGTCGATTGAAACTATCAGCAACTTTCCATTCCACTTGTGTAACAAATAACACACTTTGTTCAAATTTTACCTAAAGACTGCAGGGTTTGCTCTTAAATTCACTTTGTGAATAATTTGCAAATGGGAGAGATGCAAATAAAGTCACACAATTCGATGATTGATTGAGCAGCACTCCTCAGGTTTAAACGTTTAGTGGTTAATGCGGACTAGGAATACTGTTGGCCGCTGTACCAATCAAGTATTTTACTCTGCAAATAAATTTGAACAGCAAAGGGTATGATCTTGTATACTTTTAACTTATGTATAAACATGGGTCAGTGTTTTTATAGCTGTCGTCGTTCCGAGTGTGACTCAGGAGTGTTAAATAAAAGGGCAACAGGTGTGAACATTAGTGAGCAAGTTCTATCATGTGAATGCACTGCGATGCCTTCTCGCGCGTGTTCTGATTCATTTTCTGGTAATCCTAATCAGGGATGACAGCGCGCGCTCAAGTTGAGAGGAATGTGAAACAGCATGTCGTTGCTACGTCACGGGCAGAGGGTTCTGTTTGGAGTGGATTTCTTTCTAAAAAAAGCGACTTTGAGTCAAACTGTGTGAATCCATGAAATAATGCCCCACCTCCCTAAGATCAGTTGGTAGTAGGCATCATTGCTATAATGATGACACGTTGATGATGGCAATAGTAGAGGTAAGTTGCCCTTCCCAAGGGATTCGCCACAGGGACGTTCTCTACCGGTCTTCATTTTGTAGTTTACAGAATACACTGTCATAAATCACTGTAAGTACCCACGATGACAATAGATTGAGGTCTACCATGTATTCCCTTCGTGAGTCTGTTCTTTGAGGTAAAAACCATAAAAACGACACGGCAAAGTGACAATGAGGCAGTCAAGTGGATTCACCATTAAAATTTATTCCTGATATATTTCTTCCTGGTTACAAAATATCAGTAAAATTTTCTTAAAAATTGATTTATCACTTTACATTAAACACGACGAAGGTGCCGCAAAGAGCGTATTTACATGCTTCTCTGATAGTATTGTTTTTCAAAGTAACCCGATGTAAATGCAGTATTGAGCTTCACTAAATGAAAACTTGTAAGAATTTTATTTAAAAGGAACTTCTTTAGATAAAATAACTTTAGATGCTAAAAAGACACTTAAACTGCCAACAGTGAAGTTGAAAAGTTCAGTTGTTGCAATAGTATTGCGTACTGAGAGGCACCAAAATGGGATTAAGATTAATTAGCAATCATCTCCAGTCACTCCACTGCCTGCAGATTGATTATTGCCGATGTTTTTAGCACAGAGCACTTTGATAGTGTTGCTAAGACCCGGTTGATTTCGGGCAAATGTAAAATGGCATCGAGAAGTGAAACTTCAAACACTTCATATCCTTCCCTTGGACGGAGCCCTGTTCAAACTTGGCACTGCTGTCCAAAGGCTTAATTCCACATAAAGCATAAACCGTGAAGATTTCAGCGAAACATTTTCTGCTCACATAAGGTTGACGATTTCCCCAAATGCACCTTCCTCAAGAATACAAACGCAAAATATGTCTGCATTGGTCAGCTATTATAGAAATTAACTGTCCATTTTTCAAAATCATGCATAACTTTCGTCACGGTAATTCACTTATAGCACACGAACCATCATGTAAACCATTTTTACTTTAGTGTACCAAATAAAACTAGAGTATAGTAACTTTAACAGTATAAGAATGGAACCAAATAGGCAAACATGGTGCTCTCAATTTGGTATGAGTAGGTAACACAATACCTATATATACACATAGATGGCTGCGGAGTGCAGTCCACTCTCAGATAGTATAAAGTCTAAACTCACTAAGAGTACAATCCACAGAAAACTTTGAGTAAGCATTTCATCTAAATATGGGTGATTCACTATAGTGCGCCTCCAAGAGATTGCAATGCGTTGGCCAATCACAACTCGCGACATTATTCGACCATTTCCAAAAGTGCACTGGGTCGACAAATTCCGTGCACTGTGATTGGCCAACGCGTTACAAATTCTTGGAGGCGCACTATAGTGAACCGTCCGTTCTCTGAACTACGGTTCTCTCTCCGTTATTTTCTACAAATGGAGCCTGAATTCTTTCGTCATGACTAATCCAAAAGGCATGACCACGGGTAAGCATGAAAGTGTAATGCTACAAAAACCTACTCAAAGAAACACAGAAATATGGTATTTAGACAGCACCGTCTGGCTGCACCCCCCAGCACAGAGTGCACGAATTGGTTTATTTGCATAGCTTGGAAGACAATGGAATGCTAATTTCTGTCACCAAATGCAGGTGACATCTGACACAAACATCAAATAAACAAATGAACTGATTTACTGAAATTCAACTTAGCAATGCCCATTGTGATTTCGCACTTCTATAAAAAAAACCTTGCTTTCTTGACAGTGCTTTCTAGTACAAATCAATGATCCCCTACTAAAAATTTCCAGAACTTCCATTGGCCATTCCAAACTGTACAAACGAGTAAGGATACCCACTGGTTCCCGATCCCTTCGTTAAAATGCGCGGAGGGAACCAGCATCAACAGCTCCCTTCATCGAATAATTATCCGGCAGTGTACATGTACTATTCGTGGAGTGGTAATGCGTTCGAGTAGCTTCCTTTGGGCAATTCTGAGGTGGGATAGGTGTGCAGGCTGTGTGTTACACAGGCAAGACGGTGGAGACGAGGTTGAACCCGAGTCAACTCGTGGAAGCAACTCAAGAACACCCAGCATGCAGGACAGTGACTACACTCCTACTGGTCGATAGAAAATCCATATTTTTGTACATTAAGATGAGTGTCACATTTCCGACGACTACTTCAACTTGCCATTTTTAGCCTTTATACTTCCCTAGCATGTTTCAAATTGGTGCCTATGGAGGCCGCTGCGTCTCTCGCCTCTGCATCCATGCCCCAATTATCGGCCGGCGCGTTGACTTTCGTCCTATACAAAACATGCATTAAAGAGAAAGATATACATTTCATAAAACAGCCGTCCAATAAACCACGCATTTCTGCGATCGTTGTGGATTTTTGAACGAGTCATTGTGAAACTTCTAAGTGGTCTAATGGGGAAACCGATTATCATCGAGGGGAAAACGAATCACGTCTAAAATTATCAATCTAAAACTTCTCAAAATACTGGCCGAAAAAATATTCCAGAGAGTGGTTTCTTGTTAGGCGGAGGTGGACAGGCAAGCCGACCATAGTAGGTCCAGCTGCTACTTTCAAAGTTTGGAGAAGACACAAACTAACTTCACAGCATGAAACAATGAGTAAACGCACTGAGTTTCCCCCCTCCCAGAAATCCCCATACACTTTAGACACAAGTTATGTACGTCATTGATTTATGAACCCTGTAATCAATACTAAACATTATAAGCAATTAATTCCGACGAGTGTGCGTTCAGGGTGGGTTTTCTTAATGGTGAAATCAAAGGTCTTTAATTAGAACACAAACAAATTCTATTTTTAAAATCTGATTTCGGTTTTCCTGTAGTCTGCATGTCTAACAACAAAGGTTTAACTGAAAACTCGAAGTCTGTGGGTGCCCAAATAAGATAAACTAAGATAGAAATTTACTGTCCCACCAGGGGAAATTTATGCGGCCTTTTGACAGAAAAAAGACAATAAAAAAAGACAATAATATTTACCGTAGATAAAAAAGCAACAAAACCAATAAAGGTGTGATTACTAAGACCCATTAAAAGAAATTCAGTAAACTAACAAAAACCATCACAAATTTACAAGTTGGCGTGAGACATTCTAATGTCCCCAGGGAACAAAAGAATTACTGTAGCGTTCTGTGCGAATTCCTCACTGTATGAGCCGGGTTTCTTTGCTCTTTTTGACAAATTCTGGATGTAGAGGGTAAGAATGATCGGATAAAAGTCTCTTAACCATATGCACAATTGACTAGAATAGATTGTCTCTGCGCTCTGTTGGCACGTACCAGTGATTTTTTTTTCTGCCTGTTTGATTATCCTACTGAATTAACACTCATATACCTCGTGCATGATTTCGCAAACCAGATTAAATGCGGCAAGTACCGTGTAAAAGTATACTTACCCTGTGTTCTCCAAGTCCTTGACGCCGGTCTCTCGCCGACGCAGCACAAACAACACCAGCACCGCGATCAGCACCACGCCCAGGAGGCAGCCGATGACGACCCCAGCGATCGCCCCTCCGCTCAGCCCCACAGCGCCCCCAGCTGAACATGGATAACAAAAAGGCAAGGCGGGGGGCAGATTATTCACTCAAAGTGCACATGTGCAGTTGCATCAGTCAAATCATTGATCATGACGTTGTTTTCAGCGACGCCGCGTTGGAATTACAAGTGAAAGGGGGCGCCTTTTTCAACCGAAATGAGCCATTCTCCGGCCTAAAGTAACATTTCAGTAGTTGCCACACAAGCATGACTATAAATCGCCGTCGGTCGGTTCTGAAAACGATTTTTACAAGACGAGATTAGGCACACGTATTGAAACATAGAACGATGGCTCTGGCACATTTCTTGTTGCGCCTTGGTCATAATGGATTCACTTTCATTGGTATATACAGGTGCAAAGAACCTTTTTTTTCTGAATGATGAGATTTTGATCTTGAGCATCGCCATCCACAATGAGAATTCACTTCAGGCCAAACATGCATACTTCCTTATGCCTTCTTCTGTAATTATTTTTTTATAACAGCCAAAAATCATTGCAGGTCCCATGCCATTTTTCTGGTTCGATATCGATTTCAAGATAGTCATGCGCAGCTAATTTGTATAGGAAAGCACCACCTAGGTTGTCTGACACTGCACTGTGTTCAAGCTTTTTCAAACACAGCATTTAATGCAAAGATGATAATAATACATACCATCAACTGAATTTTAAAAATCGATATTTTTGCTCTATTCGTCATGTAATGGAAATTGCCTGAACCATGTGGAAACCCGCCCTCAGGCGTTTCTACAGAGCTGTACGTCATTCATCATCTGATCACATTAAATGAGGGCAATAATGGTGAATTCCAGTAAGACCGTCTTCCTTAGTTTTATCAAATTCGGCTTGGCACAGACCGATTTCCTCTAATCCATCGTAACCACTCAGGTCAATCCGTATGGCCACTCTGCACCCGTCCTTGCCAGTTTGTTACCCACTGACTTGCCCGCTTGAAAGTCAAAAACGGTTTTTTTTTTCTTTCTTTCAAAACAGCATATATATAGACTGGATATCTGCATTGGTTGTATTGTAGCCAGCTCTTCGCGTTTCCTGCTTCGAGCAGACGCAGACGACGAGTCTGCTCTCGAGTATTCGGTTAAGCAATCACCGCTGTACGGTGCGCACGGGTAACCTGTGATTGCACTCACAAAAACTCGACTTGTGACTGACATGCGATTCTACTGAGCTTGACTTTCGATGCAGGATGATGGAATAGACTGCAACTCGGGGAGCGTGTATAATTAAACTGATCTAATTATAAAAGAAATAATTGAACTGAACCTTTTTTTTTTCATTGATGACATTAATGAACGAGAAGGAGAAAGGATTGTTTCAAAGTACACTCGCGAAGTTAATATATTCTCTGTTACATATCATTTTGATTTGTGACAAATGACATGGAATAACTTCTAACGAAAGCATCCCCTTGCGATTCATCCGCGTCATCTGCGCCTTGATCAACGACTATATTTTACAAAATGCCGGGTGCACTCATGAAGTGATGTTGCTTAACGCTGAGGCCTCAAAAACAGTACAAGCTCAGGGGGTTATAGCGTCTGTTTGGTGAATGCACCCTTCCGGACACCACACACTGATTCTAAATTTTGGGATAAATCCTTGCATTATATTTATTACAGGTGCAATGTTTGGAATTCTTGTCCTTGAAAACCACGCAGCGTCAACTTTTGCCTATAGCAAGGGAGCTTGGCATTCGACAAACTTCGCTGCGTTACTGGTGTCTCCTTATGTTTGACACGAGTTTCGTTTTGAACGGTACGAATCTCATGTGACCATAGTGCAAACGAATCAACCAACAGACGTCATACGGAGGAGTTTCAATGCACGTGTAGGCATTGATGGCCCACAGTGTGCGCCAAAGGCCGCTCTGTACTGACAGCGGTACCCCTTAACAGACCCTTCCAAACTTACTCGAGCAATCGATGGGGCCTCCCCCTTGCCACTCTCCCCCTTTGCAGGTCAAGGTGTACTCCACCGTGGTGCCAGGACAGCCAAACACAACCCGCAGGTTGCCTTCTTGGTCGCGTCCCGTCTCTATGACATCTGCACCCTTAAAATCGTTGGTGTTGCAGTTTGTTTCTGGAGAAGGGGGAAATGGACATTTCACACGGTATAATGGGCTGTGTGCGCGAACGAGAACTTTGTTTAATAAGGAAGCCAGCCTCTTCCCCGACCATCCCAAAGCCGGGTAGGGGGATGATTCGACCGCCTCCCCCCTTAAGATCTGGACTACCCAATGACCAGTCTTGTTTACACTTGGACTGCATGTAAAGGTATTAATCGTTAGTTTCACTTCAATCTATCGCATGTGAGACATTATAGAGTACCGAAGTGTGACGTCACTGTGAACCAGAAAGTGCAGTGCAAACGAATGGAGTACGCGCGCGTGTTGGTTCATGCGCTGGTGTTCGTGCTGGTTTTCGCGCTGATGCCTTTTACACACTAATTTTGCTCGTAACGTATTCACTTCGGTACTCTATAGGCACCGAAGTGAGTAGGTGACACGCTTAAGTATATAAGGCAACAGCGCGAGGACCAGTGCGTGAACCAACACGCGCGCGTACCATTTTGTATGCACTACAGTCTTCCTAGTTCAAAATGACGTCACACTTGGGTACTCTATCTACAGGGCCAGAGGGAAGCTTAATTTCGGGCGTCTACCTACCTGTGCAGACAGGCATTTCGGCGTTCGACCACGTCGCTCCGCTCTGGCACTCTCTGGTCTGCGGGCCGATGAGAATCGCTTTGGGGTTGCCGCACGAGAACGTGACGGAGGTCCCCACTGCGTTCTTCTTGAAATCGTCTGAGTACGCTACTTGCCCGTTATAGGGGCTAGGTATGTATGAACAGGTTTCCACTGAAAAAAAAACACCAAAACTAACTGTGGTGAGACAACAGCCGTGGCAGAATATTACATCCAGTCTTGACTTACCTCGCAAAAAGTTCTCTTCTGACAAGCTGTGCAGTTCTACATTTCAGCACCGCCTGCATGGAAAAGGCCTAGAGAATAACATTCCTTGCAAGGACAGCTCGAATGGTTCGCTTCAAACTTCGTCTGATTCGACAGGAAGTTTGGTACAGAAGTACAGTCTGCGCGCTTCTCCTGTGTCAAGGCGTATGTGAACTTTGACCTTGTTTGCCCCAGGTGACAGGGTTTGGTCCGCTGAGGTTGTCAGAAATGAGTCATTGTGAGTTGACTGGGAACAGCTGTTCTCCTTGTTTGACTTCATGAATCCGTCTTTTACTGTAGCATGGGGATATATTTCTCTCACTAGTTAACTGGTAAGGTGGGTGACTACTTCAGATCTTTGCTAAGCATTTGTTGTTTGTGATAATCGCGTGGTCAATCACTGGAGATCGGCGCGATGGGCATAGCCACGCCGGGATTTTCCCGGGGGACAAAACACTTTTTCAGGGGGAAAATTCCTGAGGGGCAGAGCACTCAGCTACGAACTGATGAACTATTAATAGTGAAAGCAGGTTAATTTTAACCTTTGTTCACACGAATTGTTGATTTTATTTCCTTCCACTTTCTTCGTTTCTTTCACTCTTCTCCTTTTTTCCCTTTCTCTTCTCCATTTGTTTCCCAAAGCAATCTCTTATTTGGCTCCCTCTCTCGACGTCCACGGAGGTGCATCTCCATTTTTTTCCTTTCTGTTGCCAATTTGTTTCCCAAAGCAATCTCTTATTTGTCTCCCTCTCTCGACGTCCACGGAGGTGCATCTCCATTTTTTTTTCCTTTCTGTTTCCAATTTGTTCCCCAAAGCAATCTCTTATTTGGCTCCCCCTCGTAACGTCCACGGAGTTGCATCGATATACAGTGAAGCGGGAAACAGGAATCCAATAAACGCGACTGCTGTTTACTGCAGCACTCCCATGCCATGTTTCCAGTGCACATGCAAGTCAATACACACCTTTTTTCAGCACATTACTCCTGACTTCCTCGTAGTCGGCGTTTTCCTTGTAACAATCCTGCCCGGCCACCACCGTCTGGGTGACCGACATGTCGTACAGGCACTCCTGCAGGCCGCGACAAGTCGCCTCCAGCTGGTTGGCAATGATCGGGTCCAGGCTGCTGGGGTCCGGGGTGACTAGGACTGGAACGAAGGAGGCGTTCTGGTAGTCCTCGCTGTTCAGAGCCGGGTGGTTGTGGAATATGGTATTACCCGAGGTGGTCCCTGGTGAAACATGAAGGACATTATATGTACTGGTGGTGGAAATATTGTTCCTGAAAGCAAGGGCAGATCGGGGTGGGGTTGGCAATGGGGGCCATGCATGCCCCATAAAGGGCCAAAATAAATGAGGGAAAAGACGATTTTGTTGGCTCTCTTTCACTTTTTCTTTCTTACCAAAGCGTCTCAGAACCCCAAAAGTAAACTCATCCAACAGAAAGGTCATAAAGGATTACATGAAAAAAAAATTCCAACATTTGCGCCACTTCACAAGTTCGGCGCCCCGAAATTTTGGTTCTGGATCTGCTCTTGTTCTGAAGCCGGGGCACTAAGCGTTCGACGTACATACACATCGGCTCTAGTATAAACCCCGGGGACATTCGTTGGAACCACACTCAAGCAACAGATGCTTCTGTTCACTTGAGGCAGCATGTTATTCTGCGCTATCTGCACCCAAAACAGACCAAATCAACAACAGAAGAATTAGATTACACCTTGCACTCCTCGATCGTAAGAAACAACGTACACGTCTCTGCCACGAGCAAGTTCGAGCGCGAACTGTACTTCTACCAGTAGTCAATTACTTTTTAATAATGCGCACGAGCAATTCTGTTACACTCGAACGACCCTCGTGGTCAATTGTTTGAAATCTCATCGTCACCGTTGGCTCTGATTCGCACATGGTCATTGAATCTCCTACTGTTATTTTCATGTGAATGATTTCCTCTGTAATGACAAATGAAATCGGCATTGATAACTAGCTACGGTGTGACCATACTCCAGTGCCTGGTCCAATATGGTCGACTGCATATGTAGTTCAAACCATCCATCGTTCGGGTGGTGTTTCGTCGAACTGTAGTTAACTACAGTCATCGCTCGAACTTGCCCTCTGTTGTAGGCTCCGGCTGACTTAGTGCGCGTGCACGTCACAAGGAAGTGCTAGCATACCAAAGTTTCTTTTTGAAAGATAGCGTACTGTGGTATTTGTGGACATGACTGGTAAAAGACTTGGAGACTTCAGTGCCCATCCCCAATACAAAAATAAAATTTACATTCTTTCACCACCGCAAACAGTGTCTCTGGATCATTTCCTTCATAGAGTGCACCGTTCGTCCCCTTGATATCATCGTTGGGGTCGCCATTCATGTCACCCAGCAGACCCGTGACCGCAGCGGTTCCGGGGAAGTCCTGAATACAAGGCAAAAAGATGAACAGTAACCAAACACATTCCCAAGCCACTCCGTTTTATTGTAGAAAATTGCTTTTTCCGACCTTCCAGTAATTTAACAAAAGGGACGGACTATAAATTGATTTGCAATATCCGAGAAGGCTTCACCAAGGCAAGGGAAATTCACAAGCAAACTCTGAAAGCTGTCTTCGAAAGTTCGCCCAGATAGCCGGTTCGACACTTTAACGAAGCCATGTCATCCGGGACAAAAAAACAGCTGACGTCACGCCTGTTTACGCTTGCTCAGTGCACCTGGGCCTCTGAAGCGCGTACTTATTATCCCGTGCGACCTACGGCACATTCTATTTTTCTGCTGGAATACCGGTTCGTCTCTCTTATGATTAAGATGAAGTCTTAATCCCATTCATGTGTAAGCTAGTAGGTAACCATCTTGTGGAACACTTCTGTTCCAATTACAAGAACATCCCAGTGCAAAAGGTCTCTTCACATTAATATAAAAAAACGAAAGTTTAATACTTTACAAGTTTTAAGATTTATTTAAAATTTTGTTTATTTCTGTTAACTTCACGACATAAAGGCCTGCATGTATTGAGACCAGAGTCGAGTCGAGCACATCACTGGTCTCTTCACAAGATCATCCCCAAGTTCTTTCGCAAAGCCAGTCGTGAGTACCAGGGAAACATTGACAAAAGATTGCTTCTGCCACAGTGCTTTTGTTTGTGACAAAGCTTATGACTTGCAATGCAGAGACCTTCGAGGCACTCAACTACAACACTGCTTGTGACAGGAATTATGGTGTTTGCAAGTCTCGTTCAACTCTAAGCTTAAGCCGGGTGGCTTGTCCGTGTTTTCACTTATTTTATGGCATATACGCTCACTGTCTCTATCACGTGGTAGTCATTCTCACTGGCGTGTAACCAACGCCTCCTCGCAGTTTGACACTTACCGCATTGACCGCGATGACCTCGGCGGAGATGCCGTAGGTGAAAGCCTGAACCACCACCACTACTTTTGAGCTTTGGAAGGCGACTAGAATCTGCCTGAAGTCTGAACTGAAATGCACCGTGACCCCTGCGCACATTACAACGAAAATGACGTCAATAGCACTAGCCACAAAGCTGAAGATTTCATCTCTTAGATTTTTAAAACAAAGTTTGAATCTTAAATGACCCTTGAACGATTCATGATAACGGGAGGGAAATGCATAAAGTTTCTTTTTAATACGGTTCTTTCAGCGAGGAAAGCAATCACAGTGCCCAGAATCAGTCAGGTTTACTTCACCAGAATTGACGCCTTTACAAATTAACATTGCATTTTGAGGTGGAGAGAAATCGTATCAAGTGTGGGATTTACTTTTGGATAGATTTTGAGTGGGTTTTTGGATTAAGGTTTGCTACCTTTGAGGAACAGTGGGTCATAGGCGTTGCCGTTCAAGAACATGTCGGGTTGTCTGAAGCCATTGCCCTGGTCATAGTAGATGTTCAGCGGCCTCTGGTAACCCAGCTCGACGTGGACCACGTCACTTCCGGTTTCCTGCATGGCGACGGCGTTCAGGAAGCTCGCAACTGTGAGAAGAGAAGTGTTCAATAGTGGTCAAAGGTTGTGACCAAGACTCTATTCCAGAGTCTATAGAGAAACGGCTGTGTCTTATGGCCAGCACGCGCCCATATTATGTTAAACCGGCTGAGACTCAGACCTAGCCCTAGAAAAAAAAATGTGGGCACAGCACAAGAATCGACAATCAGTTCGGTAAGCTTACACTTATTTTGCGCTCATAAAGGCACATGTGGAATATTTTTTTTGGGGGGGTTGTTTTGGAGGGATTGGGGTCGATCAGCAATATCATTAACGACTCAAGCAACAAGCTATCAGCTAGAAAATTTAGTTGAAAAGAAATAAAGAACTGAGAGGCTGACTGAATCAATTGTGAGTGAACTATGTTTCAAAAAATTGCACATTGCTCGTGTGGTGGTCAATAACCACATGCACCCGTGCATATTGAAAGCAGTGATTTTTCTGATGCAGACATTGTCTAATTTTGAGCTAAGGACGACACTGTTAGAATACGGAACCCACTTTTTTGGTTCTTTACCCCTTATGTACTTGACATTTTGCTTCAGCACTTAAAGGACATCACATTTATTTCCTTCAACCAACTGGGATAAAAATGAAACACGAACGTAATAAGGTCTGAACCGTGCCTAACGAGTCAAACTCAGTATGAATATCCAATTTGCTCTTCGTCGTTCTTTTTGATGGCATATCAATTTTACCGGAGTTCATGACAACATCATTTGTTGCGTCTTGACAAACGCGAGCCCACTCGACGAGGCCTGTTGGCTTGAAGCAGCTGGGCCCTCTACGCTGGTGCGACAAAGAGACAGGTTTTGTCTGAAATCACCACTAACTGTCGAGACTATGCCATGGGCAATATTTTTGACACGGGTAACTGAGTCGGAGTAAATGTGAACCGGTCTTTGAAGAATGGAGGCCCGCTGCCCTGCAATATAAACTGTCAGCGAAGTGGCAGGTCAATTGTCGTAGCTGTGGTATTTATGCCTTCGTACAAACTTATGCTAAGCGATTTTTGCGAGTTTCATATTGGAGAAAAAAAAACAGTTATTCCGGTAGGCGTGATAGACCTATGAAGGCGCTCACCCATGGCATCATCGCGTCTGCTGTCCGTCGCCACCGTGGTCCTTCCGTACAGCTTGAAGTCCGAGCCCGACACCTCCATCACCCGGTACTCCCCGATGCCGTTGAAGGTGAAGCGCCTTTGGTCAAAGGTGATGAAGTGGGGATCGCCGAAGATCAATGCTAATTAAAAAATGTCAACAGATCAAATTGAGTAATAAGTTTTTTGACTGTAATATGCACTCAGGCAAAAGCGAAAGGCACGGCATCTGTAGTGTGTCATCAGCGGGATTGAAGCATTGCTTTCTACTATGTTGTAAGATACGGCCCAGACTAAGTACTGGAGGAAAGGGTTTGGTCCTCAAGGCCAAGGTTAATGCCAGGGCCCTAAAATCAAGCCCTAAGGCCAAGGCTCAGAATCTAGGCACTACATCACTGTCATGCTCATGTACACCTATTTGCCTGACTTCACCTTCGCCTGACCCTTCACATCTCTAAACAGCAACCCGGACTTACCCGAATCTCGGTGTGGGTACTCGGCGCAGCCTTTCGACCGTCGGTTCTCCAAGTACCGCCGGCACTGCTCGGGTCCAGACCAGCGGCAGCACAGATGGTATGGCATGACATCCACGCCCCAGTGGGAAAGGAAGGGGATAGAGCCGGCCTGATTGTACGGAGACAGGCCGAGCAGAGCCGCCTTGTCCGAGGAGCCACCCGTCGGGTCGTCCAGCGAGAAGACCAGGTTGTTGTTGGTGACGTCGTAGCAACATTCAGCACCATATCTACGGAAGTGTTATGATGGTTGGACTGTTTTAGCTCCCAAACGGATTTTATCTTGAGGTCGGTTTCTCCAATTATTATTGAGATTAGTCATATCAACATGCAGTCGCAAACATAGCGAAAGCACGCCCACTTGTGATGATAAAATGAGTTGGTTCACCTCTGATAATTACTACTCGCCTTTCTAATCACATCCCTTCTTGTGACTTGAATACTTTTACTCGATGATTTTGTAACTGATGTTCATTTTTTCTTTTTTTTTTGCATCATGGAAAGATACACCCAAATTTGATATGCGACCTACAAGTTACTTTTAACTTTCAAGGAAAAACTTTTATCGGCGCTGGAACATTGAACAACATGCTGTCGATTCAGATATGAAGTATTTTTATTTCTTTCCAACACGAAGGGCTTTGAGGCGGTTTATTTGTAGGGGACGAAGCTCGAGGCGGACCGGAGCATTGCCCCACCGGTGTTCCTGCTGTCGCTACTCACGCTGAGTAGGTGCTGAGGAAGCAGATTCGGTTGCTGGCCCCCTCCCGCGTGCAGGATTGGGCGTTGGCGTTCACCGCGCAGCCGCCCCGCTGCTCCAAGAAGCGGCTGGGGTCCAGCCGGGCCTGCTGCAGCGTGCAGGGACACGCCGGTACACTGGACAGAAAGGACGGTACGCCATTGTTGTCGTTGGACAGGTCCTCCTGAGCGTCCCATCTGTGTGGGAAAGGGAAGAATCTTCATATTTCCAATGTCAAAACCCAATGTGTACAACCGCCGAGCAGCCTTTAAAAAAGCCTGAAAACAGCCGGGGTGGAATTCGTTGGCAAAAAAAGTTCTTACAAAAAAATCATTAGAGGGACACAAGTTTTATGAAAATCGGACATACAGCAATAAATCGTTCTGTCGAAACGCGTACAGGTCAGACAAAATGTAAACGTCTCCAGTGACTCATGTGACACAGGCGGACTGACATGCATGAAGGCATGTGTAAAGTTTAACTCTTCCCATGGGTCGAGAACCCGTCACATAGTCGGTCTTGAACGGTTGATAAAACACCGCTGGCTGTACCCCAGGAGGAAATCATTTACGACTTCTAGCGTGAGAAACATACCATATCATCGATACAGGGGTGTTAAAGAAATACCATTGTGTTCGAAGTTTATTTTTACATTTGAAACAAAAAAGCGCACCTGTTCCGTGACCGACATGTTTGTCGTCACCAAACGTCTGAAGAGTCTCCCATTCATAGGATGTTTACCAATTCTTTTGAGGGCTGACGACCATTTGGGAGAAGAGACTCGTGAGTGCTTTCCACCAACGACCGTACAGCAACGCGTAGCGGCACAAGATGGAGAACTTCACCGTGAATAAGCGTAAAACACTGTAATCGCAGAGGCGCCATTTGGGTTGGACTACGCCTGCGCAGTGCAGGTTAATGTGAGCAGACGCCGCGACAGGCACCCAAACCTGGTATGCCTGCGCTAGCGCCTATGCAATTATCGTGCACACTCGAATGGCACCTACATGATAACACCTTTTGGACCAAGTTCTCCATTTTTCGGCACTTTACTTATCCTTGCTTTCCACCTTGCCCTACCTCGTACACTCGTCACTGGCCCACTGTTGTGGGTTATTCTGATACTGCTGGTGGAGCAGATAACCCAGCATGTGGACATCACTGTAAACAGTCACTGGGTACCTGTGCAAAATGACGAAAAACAGATACTGTTGTCTAGAGCTAGGTCTAGGTCTTCGCTCCATTCGAAATGCGTGAAGATACATAGACAATAGACCTTGCCGTAGCTCTGGAAGCCCGTTTCGCACACGGCCTAAGCACGGGCATAATGAGAAAAGACCAGGGCCGGAATATCCGACAGGCACAAGAGACCCTATGGACTGAGACCTTCGAACATCTTGAGTCTACAAAAATCAAGCTAAAAGCACACGAATATACCACACACAGTTTGAAAGCACCTGTCGCAATCTTTCTTTGGGGTAGTTTCAGACTAGCTATATAGGGTGCATAAATTACCCAGAGCATCGACATGATTACGAAGCTCTAGTGCTATGAAATTCGTGGTGGTGCCTGGACTGAAAGACGACCTGTGGAATACAGGAGCCTTTAACATGCCTTTACCACGTGGCCTTGCTAGGATTTTACTGGTGGGGGCACAAAGGGGTCACCAGCATCTTAGGTGGGGCACGTCCATCGGCATTTTAAGTGGCCTATCAGCCTTCTTCCAAATTGCCACGCATGTCACATCCCCGGAAACATAACTGTAAAGTAACGAACGTTCCCTATTTAAACACTGATTTTTGATTTTCAAAGAATGCATATAATTCACCCGTCCATGCGCTGTACCCGGATCACCCCCCACGCGTTCTCCTGGGTGACGTTCTCCAGCGGCTCCGGCGTGAACGAGAAGGACCCGGTATTGGGGACGTCCATCCCGAGATCGTAGATGTCCTCCCAGGCTGGCGCCACGTCGAACTGCAGGATCGAGATGCGCAGGTTGTCGGCCCCGGGCGCCAGGGTAGCCGGCGCCGACGTGGGCGCTTCCAGAAGATTGGCCTCCCAGTTGATGGTTAGGCGAGTCCCGGCCATCCGCCACGCCTCGCTCGTCGGTGATACCCGAGTGACAGTAACCACCGTATCGTCTGGATGCTCTGTGGAGAAATATCCGACATTAAGATGGGATAATTTATTGATTTCACCGTCTCAAAGACATTATAAAAACAGTATATCTGGTCCGCTTTATCACATTTTCCTATATACTGTTATTTTTGTTTGGCCTTCTGCGTCTCTGCATTGGCGGTTCCAAGGACGGTGCGGAATGGACGCGTGCCCACTCCCCCAATAAGGGCGGGCAAATGTTTCAGAAATACAATGCGAAAAATGCGAATTTGGGGATACTTTCATTTCTCTTCCTTCCCAAAGCACATAAAACGCTTCTCAGAAATGCATTAGAAAAAGTCACGCAAAGAAATTAAAAACATGTGTAATCCGCCCCCCCACAAAACACTGCATCCCGAAATAATTTGGTGCCGGATAGTACCAGAACTCGGACCAATTCCTCTTCCGAGTCCCAGAGACTGGCTAGGGAGGTGCAGTTGAATCAAGCCCAAATACCTTACAGCCGTGTTGACTTAGCACTTTACATGAGTGCTGAGGATGGGAGTGTAGCGAGGGACAATCGGCCCGAGAAAGGGCATCCTGTAAGTAACATCCAGCCACATCAGCCATTAACCTCGCCTGAATTATCACACTGAGCAGTATGCAATTGTGGCCATCGGGATTCACTTCTACTGTGATTACGACCTTTTAGGATACTCCTCTCCGGTTCGTAAGTGACTTTGTCATGCACGCGGACGTACCACTGATTGCAGGCCCCCATTGGACGAATGCTAAAGTCGCGCGTGGTTCCATCATATCCATTAACTTTTGGTGTAGTGGGCGTGGTTTCAACTGAAATGACGTTACACTTACGAACCGGGTAGGTTAGGCAGAAAACAAAACTCATTCTACAACAGCTGGTCATGTGACAACAGCAAATCACGGGGCAGGGGCGTATGATGATAAAGTTCCTGGAGGTTGACTGCTTATCACTGGAAAGCATGGAATAAAATCGAATTCAGAAGTTGGAAAATTATACTGGATGGATTGTAAAGAAAAAGAGAGTGTGTCCCCCCTCGACATAATGACCCAAAGACGAGGAAGGAACTGTGCGGACTGCAAGGGGGAGCTCGACATGGAAAGACTTACCGACTGTGTACTTTACTGTGTACACCGCGTCCCCAGGAACTGTTACGTCGCCACTAAGCGTGTAGAGAAGGATGGACACGTCACCGGTCACGAAGAACGGTTCGGGGATGCAGACCAGCGACTGGCCGACGATCTGCTGGTCCCGGGCCACCTGCAGCACCGTGTCCCCTTGCTTGAAGACGCAGGTCGCCTGAGTGAATCCGAGGTTGCAGATTGGCCGGATGTAAATCCTGTTGCCGCCTATCATGGGACCAGAGTCCGGCGACACTTGCCAGGCATAATAACTTTCTAAGTAAATGGAAATGATCATAGGGAGTGGACATGTCAGAGGGTCTCCTAATAAGTCCTGCGTCGGATAACCTAGAATCCGGGCCCCATAAACTTCAGGTCATCTCTGATAAAAATAGACTGTTCTCAATCATTGCCAGCGGCATTGCTAGTATTTTCGTCAATAAATATATCGCGGACTGGAAGATCTATGGCGGAAAAAGGATATTTTTCTTAATAATATTTCTTTCATCTTCCCTTCCTCTTCTTTCAACTCTATAAGTTGACATCTGTGTAATTTTTAGTAGCGTGCGGCCCATATCATTTTCCCTGTACATCACGGCACTGTTTACCACTCTTTTGTAAGCAATCAGGCCAAACCTTGAGAGAGCACCGGGGTTTGGAAAATGCCACAAATTTCCAATCGATGTCATGCCGACTCCAGACGGGCTTCTAGAGCTACACGGCTACGTCTATTGTCGGCACGTGGCCGCCCATATTGGAGACAGACGACGACTTAGAGCTAGCTCTAGAAAGGAGATTTGGACACGGTTTAGAGGTTGCAGACCAGTAACAAAAGGCCTCAAACTGCCTGTAGGGACCGGGTCACAATTTCAACGTCCTCAAATTCCTAGACCGAACTGTTTGGTGATAAAGAAGGGTGAAAGCCACCAACGAATTCGAACTGCATACAAATATTGCCAACATTTAGGACAAAACAGAGCCATATATGATTTAATATTGTCACAAAGTGAAAGTATCAGTTTTCAAAATGCTGATGGCCATCTCAACTATTTTAGTTTTGATTATCTGACGATAGATATGTGTTCAAACTTCATGGGTAAATCTTTAACCCACTATTAGCAAATAAAAGATGAGGAAGCATGCCTCAATTTGATGTATGTCTGAAACATGTGAGAGGCCTGTGAGTCGGTAAGTTTTCCTGATTTTTTGGAGTAAGGGCATTTATCATCGTTGTCTAGGGTGGCTATGTACTGGCCTGCAACCTCAAACACTGTTAACTGTTAACACTATCAACCTGTTACCACGCACGCATCACGGCGTGCTTGGTAACGGTCAACAAGCTCACTCGAGATTTCACAGCCGGGACTTGTCATGAACTCCGTGTCCGTCCGGAACACGTAGACTCCCTGTATCCCAGCAGCGTCGCAGTTGGTTCCGTCTTTCAGGCTTCCGAAACTTGAAAACTCGAATGGGTAGGACAACCCACCCCAGAGATCACCCCCGTTGAAGCCCATCTGCCAGTAAAGAGAAAGGAACAGTGTTGCCGAGTACACCGTAAAAACTCCGGTGTTAGAATCAACCCTCTGTAGTGTTCTCAGATGACCACATCAAAGGGTGTTACTTTAACACCACTGGTGTTACTTTGCACACCTATAAGTGTTACAATGCACTGGAGAATGTTAAAAGTAACACCAAGTAACGCCAGCATTTTTAACACCAATGAAAAGTGTTGGTGTAGTCCTATGATAACCACGTGGGTGTTTTTGCAGTGTAGAACATCCCAACATTTTCTATCACGCATTGGCGAGGCCTTGTCTGGGACGAACGCTTCTCTGACAAAGTTAACAAAATCTGTGCTAATTGCGGCAGTGGTACATGTAAAGGCAATTCAGGACTGCCTTCTGATATCTTGCCACCACACCCTGTACAAGTTATTACTGGGATGGGGGTCGGTCTAGCCAACTCTAAAGAAACGACGGTTGTATTTGCTGCCACCAAGTGTCCAAAAGGTCACCCAGTCCAAGGCGCTGTCCACAGCAGCATTTTTAGGGCTCGAAATTCAGATCTCACCTGAGTAAGTCCTGGAAGGTTTTGGTCCAGGTAAGTTAGATCCTGGAAGTAGAAGATGACGAAGGAGCGATACGAATCGTAGACCAAAATTGCTTGGAAGCTGTTTTTCTGTGGAAAAGAAGACAAAGGGAAACAAAGATTATTTTCGTGCCATAATCGCCAATGTCGCCTATAAGCCAACACTTCCTTGGCAGAATATCATCATTAACATAATCCTATTTTCACAATCGTATCTCATTGCCAACGCAATCAATATACCAGAACGTTTATAAAGCCTATGGCGTCCATATCATCGTAAAGAGCCGCGAACAGATGTCAAGCAGGAAATAATACAGAAACGCTAAACGTTACTGACTCCGAAGATAGGCGGCAGAAAGGAATCATGTTCAATTTCGTCGATTATCTGTTAACAGGGAAGATGTCTCTCGCTTGACTGTCGCGTACTATATCCACTTTCTCCTTGTGATTAAGAAATGGTAACCGGACCGTCAACAAAATAGCCAACCATGAAATGCACTGGCTTGAGGTACCAATTTAGTTACAACAAAAAAAAGGCCTCAACACCAATGAAAGGCATCTGTCACATCATTTTGCGGAGCAAGCGCAAGATTATTTTCCTCAGGATTTGGCACATTGATTCCAGCCTGACAAAGTCTGCGTTGAATTTTCAAGATGTATTT